GGGGTTGTCGTAGTTAATTAGATTGGTGTCTCTTTCTCTCACTCCCTCTCTCTCGGATGAGCGGAGGAGGCATGGAGGAGAGGACGAGGAAGGGCGGAGGACGGGCCGGGGAAGGGCGGAGGACAGGCCGGGGAAGGGCGGAGGACGGGCCGGGGAAGAGTGGAGGAGGGGCCGAGGAGGAGAGGAGGAGAGGAGGAGAGGAGGGGAGGAGGAGCGGGGTAGGTGGTGCGGAGGCGGGGAGGACGGGCTGAGGACCGGAGTGGGCAGTGTAGGAGCGGAGGAGGGGCAGAGGAGCGGAGGGGGAGCAGCGGAGCAGTGGAGGAGGCACGGAGGATGAGCAGGGGAGGAGGGGCGGAGGAAGAGCCGAGGAGGAGAGACAAGGGAAGAGCAGCGGAGGAGGCGGAGGCGCGGAGGAGGGGCGAAGGAGGTCGGGCAGAGGCGAAGAAAAGTTGCAGAGGGGGCGAGGAGGATGAGCGGAGGAGGAGAGGCGGCGGCGCAGAGGAGCTGCGAGGAGGAGCAGGGGAGGAGGGGAGGAGCAGCGGAATGGGAATGAACGATGAGCAAAGGCGGGGAGGAGGGGAGGGGGAATGGAGGAAAGGCGGGGACATGTGCAGTTGGTGGCCGGAGGGTTGGGGGAGGGGGGGTAGCAATGCCACTAACCTGAGTCTCCCATCTTGGAGCGGCGGCCAAACACAGCCCAGAGATCACACACGCCCACCACAGCTCATGGATAGCCACTGTCACGCTTGAGAGAGAGAGAGAGAGAGAGAGAGAGAGAGAGAGAGAGAGAGGTCATGAGAGAGAGAGAGAGAGAGAGAGAGAGAGAGAGAGAGAGAGTTGTCATGAGAGAGAGAGAGAGAGAGAGAGAGAGAGAGTGAGTTGTCGTGTTTGCTATACGCAAGTCCACAAAAAAGCATGACTCAGCCAGACTGTTTTCTTGGATTTTCACCGACTCATCAGGAGGTTGAACCCCAACAGTCTGCCCAGGAGAAAGTGGTCGACCATCAGTCCAAAGAGTGTCTGTGTGCGATGCCATGTTCGGCATACAACTCCACAAACATTGAGCTCGGACTGTGTGTGTGTGTGTGTGTGTGTGTGTGTGTGTGTGTGTGGTTGAAGGCGGGCAGCGTGTGTCTGTGTGCTTGTGTGTGTGTGAGAGAGAGAGAAAGAGTCGAGCGCAGTGGAGGGCGATCCATGACATGGCGGAGGCGGTACCCAACACGAACGACAACAGCAACAGCTCATAAACCCTGGGCGCAAAGTTGGACAAAAAACAGCACCGATTGAAATGGGCCCGTTGCAACGGACAAAGGCAGCGTGAGGTACCCAAAGTTGCCTGCTATCTCGGCCTTTGGGTCCGAGGTACCGGGCCAACGGCCTAGATTCAGGCACAGTCTTAAGATCTTAAGACTGTGTCAGTCCAGGTCGTACGTCCGGTAGCACCCGACCACCCAGATCGCAGATTTGTTACACTTCTTTGACAATCTGGGCCGTCAGTCCGGTAGCACCCGATGGCCCAGATCGCAGATTTGTTACATTTCTTCGACGATCTGGGCCGTCAGTCCCGTAGGACTACGTCGGCCCGGATTTCAGATTTGTGACGCGAGCGATCTTAATAGAGTAGGGATACAGCAGAGCATCTGGAGATAGATTTTGCTCCCCGCACCTGTCTCATGGCTTAAGGCACCAGTACATGGGCACCTCGGCCGCGGGTCTGACACCTCAAGGTCTGGAGGCGTGAAACAAAAACACGGCCGCCACTTGAATTTGTCAATGGCGGGCCCCAGCGTTTGACGTTTCGGCCTCGCTTTCTTGTGGCGACTGCTGAAACTGTTCTGTTGCTGAACGATACAAATATGGCCATGCCGCCATGACAAGTAGATAGATCATAACCTCAAATCTGCTAGCCTGCCTTAAAAAACAGCCAGCCAGGTTGATGTGCTAGATGGGGTTGTCTTTCTCTATGAAACGCATTCTGCAAGGATGGCTACCATCTTCTCCCAAACACAAACGAACCCTCATGATGAATGTATACAAGCTATCTTTCTGATCCAATATGGTCATGATAAGGATGTGTTGGTGGAAGTCAGTAGGGGAGTTTGATATTTGGGTGAACGTCTACCTCATCGGTAGTGAATGGATGCACATATGGGGGTGTGGGTGAGTGGACCAAAGAACACCACAGAGCTTCTGATGTGGTAGTAGAGAAGCGGTCGGTATGAATCTAGCTTACCTCCACATTTTTGCTGATGTCGCTGACATGCCAATCAATCTACAACGCAGGATAGAGTGCGGAACATCTTTGAGCCTCTACTTCTTACAGGACATAAGAGTTTCTTCCTCATTCATTGCACAATTTGCAGATCAAGTTGGCAGTTGGCACATCCGCAGGCCTACTTGACCGCACGCCATCATGTAGGTAGGACTCTCTCCTTCTTCCTTTGCTTGGAGACAGTGACGATTTGTTGATTGTGTTTGGTTCTCCCCTCAACAAGGACTTCCCTGCTTCCTTAAGTCAAAATGCCTGCTCCACTTCCGGCTGCCTCCCATCTGCGGTGTTCTCTACATGTTGTGTGCCTGCAAGACAGAAACCAGAGGGTCAAACAGTCCAGACTCCAGACAAAAAAAGAAGTGATTTCTTCTTATCTCTTGCTCCAACTCTTTGTTCACTCTTTTCTTTACTCAGATGAAGTCAGCACTGGTGGTGTCTGAGAGCAAGGAGAGTGCCGCAACCACCCACAGAAGAAAAATGGCCTGCTACAGTCTGGTGGCCTCCCAAATGCGGTGCTCTCTACATATTATGTGCCAGTAATGGAGAAACCACAGGGGGAAGCAGTCCAGACAAAGAGACTGAAATCTTCTTTCCTGTTCACTTGATGACACACTGCTTCTCGTATCCGAGGGGCAACGAGAGAGTCACTCAGCAAAGTGAAGGAAACTGGTTGGAACGCACAGGACGGATGACATCACCGCAAAAGATCCATGCTACCCACAATGAAGATATACCTCGTCGCTATCTGCATGCACATGATGAATTTGCCGCATTGAAAAACGAAGAAGACGAAAAAGGAAGAAGAGGACGAGGAAAAAGAAAGACAAATGAAGAAAGAGGAAGAATAGAAGGAGAAAGAAGAAGAAAGACTGAAGAAGAGAAAGATGAAGAAGCAGTGCCGGTCCCTGGATGGTCCGGGGGACCCTCCCACGTCCGGGAGCCTGCCGGTCCAACCCAGCGCATGATGCTTGGGGGAGGGGGGGAGGGGGGGGGGGGGGGGTTACCGGGGATTTCAAGGCGTTCCCGTCCTCGTCCAGCCTCCAGGAGGTCATCGCAGCATCGAAAAAAAAAAACATGGGGCCTATAGGACCCCGAAATTTCAGAAGAACGCGAGGCGGATCTCCACCGCTGATCATCGGAGATCAGCGGTGGAGATTCGCTGCACGATCTTTCAAAATTCCGGGGTCCTACAAGCCTGCTGTTTTCAAATTCGGAAACGTGAGCCTACCTGCCTACAGCCGCCCTGCTCCTGCCCGCGGCCGCGACCCCACCCACACGAGACTACGTCCAGGTTGACGTCGCACTCATTTGAGCGGACGTAAACTTCGACCTGCAGCCTAGCCCACTAGAGCCATTGCCCCTGCACCAGCCCGCCACCGCCATCACCACACCACAGAGAATGTGCCCCCCATTGCCACGAAGCCACATGAGGAAAGTTTCGGTAATCTTTTTCTTTTCCATTCTTCTTCTTCTTCTTCTTCTTCTTCTTCTTCTTCTTCTTCTTCTTCTTCTTCCTTGTCGTTGGGATCTTGGAGCGGGAAGAGATAGATAGATAGATAGATAGATAGATAGATAGATAGAGAGAGAGAGAGAGAGAGAGAGAGAGAGAGAGAGAGAGAGTCTGTGTGTGTGCTTGCGTGCGTGTGTGTGTGCGCGCGCGCGTGTGTGTGTGTGTGTACGCGTGTGTGTGTGTGTGTGTGTGTGTGT